TTTACTCTAGTAAAAAGTATAACTGGGAATGATTACAAGATACTATGGTGTTCCATATGTGCCAACGGCCTCGCATGTTTTTTTTTTGGTCGCATGTTTTTTTTTTGGTCGCTTTTTTTTTTTTTGGTCGCATTTTTTTTTTTTGGTCGCATTTTTTTTTTTTGGTCGCATTTTTTTTTTGTTGGTCGCATTTTTTTTTGGGCGGCGCATTTTTTTTTAGGCGTCGCATTTTTTTGGGGGGGGTCACGTGTCCACGTGCCTGTCATATGATGCCCATGTGATGTCTGGGAATACCAAGGAATCAGGCGCGTTTCTAGAACAAATATTTGGGGGGGGGCTAGCACGGTGGATCCAGAATTTTTTCAGGGAGGCGTGCTGAAATGTGGACCGGTTATTTTTTTCCTGACACTTAAGGCCTCCGAAAATCAATAAGTGGGGGGGGGGGGGGGGGGATCATGCCATATTTTCAATGGGGAGCGCCAATAAAATCCTAAACTCATTCACACTATACATGTATCACAAGTCCTAAGTTCCCCCAAAAAATTATTCTTAATTAATGAAATAGAAATGCACGATTTCAACAATATCCCAAATGCAAATGACAGAGGACGCTCTTCTGCCCATCTTGTGAGAAAATGATAGAAATCCAATCACGCATACCAACACGAAGCTCATTTGAATGAAAAAAGTGCCAATAAAAAAAGTTGCAGTAAACAGCATCGCTCCAATGTACTGGTTTGAGTGATCCTGCAAGGCAGGGTAGACTTTCATTAATTAATAACTTTACCTTACAAAAGTTTCCTTGTTTAAAAGGATGTTTAACTAAAACAAGACGCAATCTTGGTAATCTAACAGATAATTGCAGACCTTTTAATGCAAAGATGACAAAGAAAATGCTGTGTAATCCTATTACTTTTAGATTAGATACAAAAGGGATTAACATTCTACCTTTTAAAGCATGATCAAACCAGTACATTGGAGCAACGCTATTTACTGCAACTTTTTTATTGCCACTTTTTTCATTCTAATGAGCTTCGTGTTGGTATGCGTGATTGGATTTCTATCATATTCTCACAAGATGGGCAGAAGAGTGTCCTCTGTCATTTGCATTTGGGATATTGTATTAACTAATGCACCCTTGTCACGGCTATTTCTTCTTTAGGGGGAGACTGTTCGCATGTACATCACAATCCTTCTTTTTGCTAATGCATTTTTTTTTTACGGAATTTATTTTTGGGGGGCTAGACAAAAAAAAAAATGGGGGGGGGGGGGCTACAGCCCCCCCCCTAGCCCACCCGTAGAACCGCGCCTGCGTTGAAGGAATACGGCGTGCCCCGGTACACTGCAGCCACAGCGGTGGGACCGTACGCCAGTGCCCTAGATCCTGCAGATATTTAGGTTTGTTTGTGATCCGACTTAAATATAATGATTAGGAAAAACGATATATTCATAGTCTGTTGGGGAAAAGTGCTGTGGAATAAGTGTTGAAATATACTCCCTCCCGGATCTGTAAAGTGTAATTCATGTTATGTAGGGACTAGCGGGATCGGTAGATCTGCGCGATCGGTCGATCGCGTCCAGTCCACAGTAGTAGGATGAGAAAGAAAATTGTTGTATTCGGCTTGAGGCAGCGGGTTCGACTGATACATCATGATCAATCGACAGCCGGTGATGCGATGGATCCACTGATAATATCGCGTCTATCGACTGATCGCGCAGAACCGCAGACTCGCGCAATGGGAAAGACTGCTGCAACCTGCAGTGACGCTACTTCAGCAGTTATTATGTACAAAGTGTTTGGAGAGTCAAGAATTTGTTTTAATTATTTCCTAACAAAATTGGAAATATTTCTCAGTCCCAGATTCATGTCATATCATCATTTTTTTTGCAATGAGTGACCTTCATTGAGATGATATATGAATAAAAGAAAGCAGCGTCAGGTTGCAACATTATTTCCTTATGTTCAAGGCGTGGCTGGGGGGGGGGGTAAACAAACTCCACATCTCTGTCCATTTCTAGCCCCACTTGTGTGGCCTCGGTATTGCTGCGATGTACGTTAGGCCACACGTCTGGTTTCCCAACCTACTGAGGAGTTTAGTCCAAACTGGCGCATATGGACTCCAGAAAGATGCCCAAATTTCCAGAAAAATTGGCACAAAGATTACCTAATCTACCCGGAGGGCAAAAGCTGAGAAATCATAGAATACAACTATATAGCCTAAAGTGGTATGCCAAAAAAAAAAGAAAAAAGGGTGCGCCAGTGTTTGGACTAAACTCCTCAATACTGTTGGAAAACCAGACGTTTGGCCTAAACGTACAGCTCAGCAATACGGAGGCCACACAAGTGGGGCTATATGTCCATTTCCAAAGAAATGCCTGAAAAAAAATAACGCTAACTCCGCCCCCCCCCTACTCTGACACCCAAAAACAATTATTAATACGCCTGTGCCCACAGACAGAGCCTGCTTTAGAAGAGTTAGAGGTTGGAATGATCATGAAAGCAGCTGTAACCACTTGCAAAATGTGTAACTCAGGTGCGGGGGGGGGGGGGGGAATTCAAAATTCTAAGGCTCTCGTAATTGAAAAGGGGGGTGGGGGCATCAACCAAAAGGGACACTTTTTTTGGGGGGGGGCTACATTTTCTGCTGATGTTGGCACTTTTTTTCACCGTACACCTGGCCTCCGTAAAATCAAATAGGGGGGGGGGGGGGGGGAGGCTGGTACCATCTTTCAAAATAGGGGCACTATTCAAAACCAGCCACTATGCAAACTATTTATGTACCTGCCCCTGTGTATCACTTTCCATTAGAATACTGCAACATTTAGCTCAGCAGGCTATTTTCTGTAAAGCAACAATTACAGTAATACTTTTTGAAAGCTTCAGTATTATTTTGTCTACTTTCATTAGTTTTGTTGAAGTAAGCTGCGCCGAGCTGAAACAGTTGCTTGTTACATTTTTCTTCAGGCGACGCAAAAAAAAACAATGCGCCGCCCCCAAAAAAATGCGCAGCAAAAAAAAAAAGGCGACGCAAAAAAAAAAAAGGCGACGCCAAAAATAAAATGCGCCGCCCAAAAAAAAAATGCGCCGCCCAAAAAAAAATGCGCCGCCCCCAAAAAAATGCGCCGCCCAAAAAAAAATGCGCCGCCAAAAAAAAAAATGCGCCGCCAAAAAAAAAAAAGGCGACCAAAAAAAAAAAAGGCGACCAAAAAAAAAAAAGGCGACCAAAAAAAAAAACATGCGACCAAAAAAAAACATGCGACCAAAAAAAAATCATGCGAGGCCGTTGGCACATATGGAACACCATAAGATACTGATTGTCTTTTGGAAAATGCCAAAAGGTAACTAGATAATTCATGGTCATGGATGTTGACAACAATAGATCATGATTTTTGTACATGTAGTCCTACAAGCTCGTCTTTCTTTGAAATAAAGATCCACCGTCTAGAATAGAGTCGCCACAAGTCTTTGGTACAGAAATGGCAAACCTTTACGAAAACTTTCAGATCAATCAAAGAAAATCAAAGAAAGCTCAAAACAATTTTAGGGAACCGATCAATTTGGAATTTGTTCAGAAAACATGTTTACTTCTATTATAAGATGAATTATCAAACTCACCTAGAGCAGGACATGGTTACTTCTCAAATCAAGTTATGTGAAAATTAAATCATCAAACATCGAAAAGAAGATTGTGCTTGCTTCAAAAAATGACAACAAAACCGTAAAAAATGTCAACTGCAGTAAGAACTTCTCAAGTGGATATTGGCCAAAGTTAGAATGTCTAAGAACTTAATATTCATTCATTAAGCTTATTACAACAATCTGAACTGAGCATACAGTGACGGCATGAAATGAACATAATAGTAATAATAACAACAACATGAGACGGTTCGGTCTAAACTTTGAGTAAAGAATATACACTTTAACCTAGGAGTAAAAGTAATATCAAACTCACCTAGAGCAGGACAGAGGATGAATAAGTATGGCAGGTTCAATATTAGGAAACAGAGACAGTTAAACAGAGGAGCTGCAGTGCTACTAACAACCTGTCTCTGTTGCAGTTCAGTGGTCAAGTGAATTCACCGGCCACTGAATTTAACAGTTCCTCCTCAATGACTCTTGTAGTTGGCTGCAAGTTCTGCTACCAACTGCCCACACACGCTGCCAAGCAACCCACACATTTCTACAAAAAATGCATGACCTTACTCTGTGGGACTTAGGAATTCAAAAAAATGGGGGCCACAAAATTCATCCTATTACACATTTTTCATCAAAATGCATGAGTGGCACATTTCTTTCCGTTATCGCTTCCGTTCCGAATCATAGGGCAGCAGCTTTATAATCTTATAGGCCGTTGACCTGTGTCTTGAACACTTTGGATAGTTGTGAGTATATTTTCCTCACTTCTTTTTTTCAGTGGGGGAATTTATCATTGGTGTCTGCAGGGAATTTATTTACTGGTCGGCACCCATAGGGAGTGTCGCTGCCGGCCAGCAGGCAGGAATCAGCCTATATGGTTGCAGATCAGTAAATACATTCCCTGTAGAATGATAAATTGTATACACCCATTTCAAAAATCGAGGGAAATACTCACAACTCTCTGAGATATTCAAGACACATATTAAATTAAAGCTTGATTAACCCTCTTTCAATTTCTGGTCCTTTTTTTCCTGAGGGGGGGGGGGGGGGGCGGTTGACGGTTGACTGTTGCTAATTGTTCCCTCCTCTCAAGTTGACCACAAACTAAAAAAGCAGCATGGTCCCAGTCCATCGCCATTTTGAAAATGATCCCTGTTTTACTCCATTGCAAAATAGACCCACTTTCCAAGTTCCAAGACTGGTTTAGAGTTGGGACCGTTCATTTCTACAGACCCTGAAGTGCAGGATGATAAGCTCGTATACTGTACTGGTACCCGGATCTATGATTAAAAATGACAAGAGCACTTGCTCACCTCGTCAAAAGTGGGCGCCCTTCAAAATTACAGCAAATATTCGATTCCCACAATACCTCTCACTTCCGTTCATTGCGCATAATAATTTATTTCGAGCTAGCGGCGGTAGACATTGCATTCATATTAAGCCTTAAAAATATCCACCGTCATCAATCCCCCACATTTGTTTCACTGCCGAATTATTTCATAAATCGTTTAATCAAAGAAAGAGGTCAACATGGCTGTTGAGATGAGTATCGAAAACCTGAAGAAGACGTCGGGTAAGAAAATTGTTAACAGTATCGCACTTCGCCAGATGTGTTTTGGCAGGTGCCGGTCAACTCGGGTCAACTCGATCCGTAGCCCCATAAATGTGGCCAATTTACTGGACTACCTCCGTAAATAAAGGCCACACTTGGAACATGAACAAAAAACACACCCTAGAACTTTTTCAAATTTTGATTTTCACATTTAGGCTTAGGCCTACTCCGCTTAGTTAATGTTTGTAGTTTAAAATTGATAGTGGATATTTTGCCGGAGGTAATGACGGCAAACTAACGATTACTAAAGGTTTGCCGGCAGCAATCCATATCAACAGAGGGCGCTGTACTCTTTAAAATAGGGCTGAATTATAAGATGTATTAAATTCCCACCATAAGTTGTGTAGCACGTTTGGTGTAATGCCTGGTTAAGCAAAGGCTCTAGTAAGCGGTATGACTCGCGTTCGATTCCGACCGCACCACATTTTAAAGTTTTTTTTCTCAAACATTTTTTGCAGAGTATTACATTTTCTTTTTCAGATTAGTGGCTCTGGATGATTTTTTTTAAAAGGGAAATAAAGTCCGAAATTATAAAATGGTCTGAATCCCATCTTGTGAATATGAGGTAACAACGATAATTTTGGCATGGAGCCAGACTAAAACTTGTCACCGGAAAATGTTTAAGTACAAAAAAACAGTAACTGCGCATGTTCAGTGCATATCCGGCAAACTAACGTTTACTAAAGGTTTGCCGTCTCCGGCAAAATATACACTGCCTTTAAAATTTCCTTACTGGATCACCACTTTTTTCAATTAATTTTCAAGCGCCAAAAGTTGCATCCTTTATCATTTTTATGGTAATTTCCTCCTCTTTCCCTCCTCTACTCGGAGTAATTGCAGAATACCCCGCCACTCGGAAATACACCCCTAAAATTCTCTGGCTACGACTTACGAGGTTGGAATCACTGGAAAAAAACAATTCAAGTCCATGCCAGCTACGCGGATACTGAGTGGGGGGTCCATTATTTGAGAACAAAGCAACACAAAAGGAATGGGAGTTGCTGAAAAAAATTCCAAACCAACCACCCTGTTGGTGGCTACGCGGATACGGAGTGGGAGTCCCCTTGAATATGCTTGAGAATGGAGCAACACAAAAGGAATGGGAGTTGCTGAAAAAATTCTAAGTCCAAACCAACTAGCCTGTTGGCGGCTACGCGGTTACGAAGTGGGAGTGCAATGGAGCATGACGCATAGTACATACAAGTAGCGCTGACAATGTTTATTGAGGTCAACCAACCGTGACCTCGTAGCCGGCTACGAGGTGGATAGATCGAGTGGCGGGGTATTCTGCAATTGTGCCCTCTACTCTCAACCTCTCCTTTCCTTTATTCCTATTTATTAATCAGTCAATTACTTCATCGTGATTCGAACCGCGGACACTGACTTGAAACACGAGACTTTTAACCGCTAGGCCGTGCACGATTGCTGTTGCAATGCCAATGATCAATCTTTGGACGTATTTGAAGTAGGCCCCCTATCCGTTGAAATAAACTAAATATTCATGAGAAAATAAATATTCATAATGACGTATTGCACTATCATTGGCCGGCTCATGCATTGTCATGGTCATGATGGTTGTCGATGTCATGCGTATAATGTACCGCTGTTTTCCAGACACTTCAATCAGTTTTGACCGGCTGCTTCAACTTAGTTCTGCACGACGCGTGCATCCAAAATATGCTCTGAAAACACATTTTCCCTAAATTGTTTTCGTATTTGCCGACGCTTCCTGGATTCCTCTTGGGTGAAATCACAAGGTGTGGTGAAAATTGATGTGTTTGGCAGCAGGTAAGTTAAGTGGTGATCCAGTATGGAATTTTTTCCGTAGTTTATTTTTGCTTTAGAAGCATACTCGCCCTCTTTATAGCTAATCAGAAAGTGCTGCCTTTTTCAGATGTCTATTTTTTGTGAAATTTCCAGATTCGTTCGCACACGTTTGCGTATCAAAATTTTAACATGAAATTTCACGAAAAATTGAAGGATGATACTATACTAGGGAGTCGGGAACTAGCTTGAACTGGTTTCCGCTGATAGCTGCCCTAGTTCCCGACTCACTATCATCGTTCGAAATGCACTCGTGTTTACAAACGAGATCCAGTCGACTCATTATCATAAGGCCAAAAAAAAGAATAGTTCTGCTTCCGGTTACCCGACCGACCCTATTTTTAGGCTGCGACCCTAAAAATTTTATCGGCAATTCCAAAAAAAAAATTTAAAAAATGATTGAATAAATAAAAATAAAAACCTTATGTCTTGTCTGTCTTCACAAAATACCTCTCAACAACCCTTTTGCATCAAAAAATACTTGTATTTATTGTTTTCTTACTTACATTCGCTATTTTTTCAAAAGAAACCTCCGTTATTTTTACAAATTCGCTTCGCGATTCAACTACTTCGCAATTCGATGTCTATAATCACGTGCGTAATAAGCGCAATGCGGCGCGGCGACGACTGGTTCCCGCCGCGCCGGGCAGGGGCCAATGATGAAAATGCGGTAACTAGTCTGTGCACGGCTAAGCGATCGATAGCACTAGCATGGCTATACAGGCGCAGGTACGCGCTCTGTCAACTGGTCGGATTCGACATCGTAAAAATCCCAAGAAAAACACCGATGGAGAAAGAACATTTTTGCAAGTTAATTCACAGATTTGATCTAGCTTGTCTGTGTATGTATTTTCCGTGTTCAAGGATCATTTTGAGATCGCACTACTCGTATTTGGAGTGATACAATGCAGCGTGTTTCCCGAAATGTTCGACCCGTTGGCCGCAGTCACATGTACATGTACAGTGCATCACACATGTCGGAGTTTTGGCCAGCTCCCCTTCTTGACTAGCCTTGTTCAATGCGGTCTCTCGGCTTTTTGTCGAAGGGAGATAATCGGGCCCTAGCACCCACAATCAACGCGGTTACGTGCGTGTACCACCGACCCTTGTCCGTGCGTGTACCACCGACCCTTGTCCGTACGAACGGTTCGGTACTAACACAACCAGCAAGCACACACACGTGAGTACGGACTGTACGCATGGTGTAATAAGGCAGTAAATGTAGGCCTACTATGTTCTGCGTGTGGGTGTACGTACGTACGTGTGGGGGATATACGCGCCGCGTGGCCTGTCGAACGACCGCCTTGTTGGGTCTGCAACTTCCGGGTTTAATGTCTTTCTTTACTTTTTCGTCCAGTTTTGGAAAAAAATGGGCGGGCTTCAGGTATGCGGGTATGCCGTGATGATTATGTAGGTTCGTCTTGGACCAATCACATGAAACAACCTTCCCAATAGTATGATTAATTCATTTTTAAGCTGACCAATCGTAAGCTTCACAAGAATCATGTGACGTCGCGCGGCATGCATAATGCATTAGTCATCATGGCGTCTTCCATGTCATTTTAGCGAGAGCAAAATGTTCGTCACTTTTTCAACAATTTGACATTGATTCGAGTTTTTCGGCTCGTGTAATGAATCCATTTGAGTGGGCAACGATCGTCTAATGACAGCATTACCTGCAGAATTCGTTGGAGCCTTCAATACTGCTTCGGACAGACTGGGACTGAACGACTTTCACCCACAGCAACGGGCCGCCATTGCAGCGTTTCTTCGCGAGGCGACGTGTTTGTTAGCCTATCGCGGGCTGACCAATGAGAATTCAGTATATACGCGGGGGTGGTACCTCATTACCGTAATAGGTTTTGCTGGGTCAACTCAAAACCATCAAGGCGTTGGGTTACGCGGACTAGCTCATGCATGTACATGTACATGTACATGTACTTGTACATGTACATGTACATGTACTGTGTGTGCATGGCTGTTGTACGAGTACGTGTGTGATGTACGTGCGTACGTACATGTACATGTACAAGCATAGCCTTGCTGTATGGTACAAGTTACTTTCTCACTAGCAGCGTACGGGCATCGATATGTGCACTCAATTATGCCTTGCCAAGTTGATTAGGGATTTTGTTATCGGCGATTTTTTTTTTATCGGCGAATCGATAAGCCCGCAACGCCTTGGTCAAGGCTACTTCTTGACTAGCGTTGTGCATATGGTGCGAACGACCTGAATTTTCCACAATTTTTTTTACGAATTATCGAACGTAAATATATTGACAATAATTAAGGTAGGTTTTATTCACTTTTTGTGGCCATTATGTGTACAGCTTTCGTAGTGCAATGGAAATAGTTCAGGCTAAAACTTCGCATATAATTGAATACCCCATTCAATCTGCATACAAAAAATTGGCAAAAAAAAAAATTCTGACCGACCGACCCTATTTTTGAAAGGCATGTAATCGGAAGCAGAACTATTCGTTTTTTTGGCCTAATCGATGCATCGCCCTCGGTAACGGAATCGCACTCAGGATACGCGGACCATTGAAGAACGCTGGGCACGCCACATCGCGTTTTCAAACTCGAGTCGGAAATTTAACGTGTTCACGATCGCGAGGGGAACTCTCGGAATTGAACGGGAAATTTCACTTTTCATCTGGATCATAAGTAAACTTCAGTACCACCATCTAAGCCATCGATGTCTACTTGTATCTCAGGTGGCGTATCTAGTAATTTGGAAGCCGTTTTCGGGTGAAATCTGATGTTTTTGTTGGGCAGTGTCGGGTTTTGGGGTCAATGTGAGCGTTGAGTCGCTCGGCATACGCGGTTTAGCTTGGACCCCACTATTGCCAGACCATGTCCGAATGTTAAAAAGGCGATAAGTTGGGTCCAAGTTACTCAGACTACTAAGTTAGTAAGTAGGACTGCTAAAGGAGTAAGGGATAACACCCCCCCCCCCCCCTCCCCGGTCGAAAATACCCCTGCTTACCATATAGGCCTAACATTTTCTTGACTCTCCGTAGACTTTGTACACAACCGCTGAAGTGGCGTCTGGATACATAGGCCTACTTTCCAAGCTGGAATTACCTTGCCGACTAAGAATACGGTTTTCAAGATGGGAGATTTATCCTTTCCATTTATACTTGAAAATAACGTTAGTGTCATGGTTATAGACTGCTTTCATTGTTAACGGAGTTCGTACACTGTGCGGCCAGCGCATCCATGCTGCGTGCACGCAATACGCACACGCGATTTGAAAACTCTCATGGAGTGTTGCAAAAGTAATTGAGTGAAATTCGGTAAAATTTTCAATTCTTCTGCCCAAATTACATGTACAAGGCAACATTTATCACACAGACGAAAAAAATGTGCTCGATTTGAAACAGAAATTACAATGAGAGTTGAGTCGCGCCCGTGGAAAAAAAAAACACTTCTCAAAAACTTGTGGGCGTCAAACTAAAATGTGTTACCGCTTTTGTATATATCTTTTTTTTTCACATTGATGAGACAAAAAATGTTTCTGCTTCCGGTTACCCGACCAACCCTATTTTGACGGCCAGATGATTTTACAAACGCTTATAATATTTCTGTCGTCTGCACTTTTTCATCTGCTTAATACTTATTTAGAAGGAAAACTAACTGGTTTTTTTTACGCGATCAGCAAGTTCCCTTCGTTGTGGTGAACGCACTTGCGTCACGCATGGTGTACGGTGGACTGGTTTCCCGCCGCTGTGTGCTGTGGAGATAAATTTCACTGGGCATTAGATCTCAGTCCCATCTTCACTTTGAGCAAGGGTTCTGTCATTAATCAAAGGATCCTACGTTGCTTTCAAATGTTTCAACAAAAAATATGGCTGAAAAAAAACCTGGCAAAATGGAAATATATAATTTTGCAAAATCAACGCTCCCCCGCCCAATTCAGTACTACAATTGATTCCCTGTTTGTTTGAATAGTAGAAAACATGTCATGCATGCATGACCTGGAGCCCCAGTGCTGATGTGATCCTGAAGCTTGTAAACTGATACATGTAGTATTTGGCATCTTTCAAGTGTGAAATGAGTGCTGCACTTACCATTAGGCCAAAAAAATAATACTTCTGCTTCCGGTTACCAGACCGACCCTATTTTTAGGCTGCAACCCTAAAAAATTTATCGGCAATTCCAAAAAAATAAAAATAAATAATGATTGAATGAATAAAAATAAAAACCTGTTGTCTTTTCTGTCTTCACAAAATACCTCTCAACAACCCTTTTGCGTCAAAAAAATGTTTGTATTTATTTGTTTTTTTAATTACATTCGCTATTTTTTCCAAAGAAACCTCCGTTATTTTTACAAATTCACTTCGCAATTATAACTACTTCGCAATTCTATGTCACGGTGATTATAATCACGTGCGTAAACCTAGCTCAATGCGCCGACGACTGGTTCCCGCTGCACCGCGCAGGGGCCAATTTAAAAGACATGATGAAAATGCGGTAACCAGTCTGTCATGGCTATGCGATCGATAGCGCTAGCATGGCTATGCATTGCAGGCACGTGCACTGTTAACTGGTCGGATTCGACATCGTAAAAATCCCAAGAAAACACCGATGGAGAAAGAACATTTTTGCAAGATAATTAACAGAATTGATCTAGCTTGTCTGTGTATGTATTTTCCGTGTTCAAGAGTTCATTTTGAGATCGCACTACTCGTATTTGACGTGATACAGTGCAGCGTGTTTCCCGAAATTTTCGACCGTAAAAAGGAGGTCGGTTGGCACAGTGCATCACACACTTCGGAGTTTTGGCCAGCTTCCCGTCTTGACTAGCGTTGTGCATATGGTGCGAACGACTTGAATTTTCCATGATTTTTTACGAATTATCGAGCGTAAATATATTGACAATAATTAAGGTAGATTTTATTCACTTTTTGTGGCCATTTTGTGTATAGCTTTCGTAGTGCAATGGAAATAGTTCAGGCTAAAACTTCACATATAATTGAATACCCCATTCAATCTGCATACAAAAAATTGGCAAAAAAAAAAATTCTGACCGACCGACCCTATTTTTGAAAGGCATGATTCGGAAGCAGAAGTTGTTTTTTTTCGGCCTTATGATAAAATCTAGACTTCGTCGGGTGCCTGGAAGAAGATCGTAAGGGCGAAAAATGGGTCAAAAGGTCAAATTCAGATTTTTCGGATAATCGATAGAGCTTGGAAATATCTTTCATTTGATATACATATTGTTTCAAGAGGCTACGTCATTCTGATGTAATTAACAGTAAACAAAAGACGGAAGGAGGATTTTCATTATTTGTGCCCGGCAAAAGGACGTTAACGTGTAATACTAATGTAACAACAGATGTTCGAAGCGTGATAACGTCCCACTCAAGTGGGTAAGCAAAGCCAATTTTGTTCCCGGCCAAAGGACGTAAGGATTTAACATGCTGCTTAAGCGTACGTTTAAGGCTTGGGAAGTTCCCGGTAAAAGGTCGTTAGCATAAAAATTGAATTAACTTCACAATTTATATTTTGACATAAAAATGCACAATATTATTTTAATTATTAATGAATGTCATCAGTCAAAATTTTAACCTTACGTGATTTTTATGCCCCGCGGCGAAGCCGAAGGGGCATACTGTTTCCGCCTTGTCCTTCCGTGGGTGGGTGGGTGTGTGGGTGTGTGTGTGGGTGGGTGGGTGTGTGGGTGTGTGTGTCCGGACAAATCTTGTCAGCACGATAACTTGAGAAATACTTAACATATGAACTTCAAATTTGGTCTGTGTATTGTTCTTGGTAATCCTAAGAGGCCTATTGCATTTGGGGCCGAAAGGTCAAGGGTCAAGGTCACAGTGGCTGAAACAATAGAAATTTTGTCAGCGCGATAACTTGAGAAATACTTTACATATGAACTTCAAATTTGGTTTGTGGATTGTCCTTGGCAATCCTGAGAAGCCTTTTGCATTTGGGGCCGAAAGGTCAAGGGTCAAGGTCACAGTGGCTAAAACAAAAGAAATTTTGTCAGCGTGATAACTTGAGATATACTTTACATATGAACTTCAAATTTGGTTTGTGGATTGTCCTTGGCAATCCTAAGAAGCCTATTGCATATTGGGCCGAAAGGTCAAGGGTCAAGGTCACAGTGGCTAAAACAAAAGAAATTTTGTCAGCGCGATAACTTGAGAAATACTTTACATATGAATTTCAAATTTGGTTTGTGTATTGTTCTTGGTAATCCTAAGAAGCCTATTGCATTTGGGGCCGAAAGGTCAAGGGTCAAGGTCACAGTGGCTGAAACAATAGAAATTTTGTCAGCGCGATAACTTGAGAAATACTTTACATATGAACTTCAAATTTGGTCTGTGTATTGTTCTTGGTAATCCTAAGAGGCCTATTGCATTTGGGGCCGAAAGGTCAAGGGTCAAGGTCACAGTGGCTGAAACAATAGAAATTTTGTCAGCGCGATAACTTGAGAAATACTTTACATATGAACTTCAAATTTGGTTTGTGGATTGTCCTTGGTAATCCTAAGAAGCCTTTTGCATGTGGGGCCAAAAGGTCAAGGGTCAAGGTCACAGTGGCTAAAACAATCGAAATCTTGTATTTATTCTGAGATCATAGGGATTAGGGATTAATTCATATAAAACCTACAGAAGACACTAATGCTGTCAATGAACATTCCATGTGGCCAAGGTACATGTAAGTTGATGTTAAAAGAGTGGTGTTATGTCATGGGAACAGTCACGGTTGCGGGGCATTTGTGTTTGTAAACACACCTGACTTGTTAATCATGAAATGGCAGCACAAAAACTTTCAACTTGGTTATCTCCAAAGGTGCTTTTTGCCTGCCTGGCCTGCTAACGTCCTTTTCCTTGTCACACGACGACTTGTTCCTGCCCAGTACAAACAACAGTGGATGAAGTCACGAACCAGTCTAGACATTACCTGGTCCCTGCCCACACAGATGATTATACTGAATGACTGGGGGTTGGAACCAGTCTAGAGATAATGATCACACATTCTCTGGAGAAGCCTGTTCCTCAGTCATTGTCAGTAGTCAGTTTAAAACAACGCACCATTTATTGGATAAAGTAAATATTCTTCATTGCGTATTTTTGCGTTATTGTCAGAAGGATGCACGACTGATCCTGTGATATCCAGCTGGGCCTCAATACAAATTGCCTTGCATTTGCATGTATGGGATCGAATTAAAGGCATCTAATGTGCTTACTTGCACAGAATGTTTGGCAAGCACATTTTGATTGTCTCCATTCTTTTTTTTCTCAAGCTGCTGACGACTTTCAGGACAACAGTGAAGATGGCACAATGAATTTAATTCATGTGAGGTATGTGGCACTATAAATTTATGCAACAAATCTGGTGGATTTATGCAAGCAAGTGTTCATATTTTAATTGAATAAATAATCAGTGAAGTTGTTCTGGCATTCTCTCATTTTGAAGAAAACAATACAAGAAGGCCATTTCCAAAGATGCATCAAGTGACACATTTCTGGAAATTTCCATCAGTAGTTGGTTTGTAATTCGGCGAATCCATTAACCCTAACTCCTGGGGCTCTTTTACTAGAAAGTATCCTGAATCCGCCAAAATCCACCAATTTTGTCATGCAAAAAATGCTGGTATCCTGAATCCATCAGAATCCCCCAGTGTAGATACTGGAGGTATCCTGAATCCACCAGAATCCACCGGCAAAAGTCTTGATGGATTCTGGCGGATTCAGGATACCATGGTGGCATAAAAAAAAATACAGCATGTTTTTCCATAGAGTCTTCAAAATCCATCACCTAAATTTCTGGTGGATTTTGACGGATTCAGTATACCACGCTCGCATGAAAATTATGATGTGTGTTGTTGCATAGGATCCATCAAAATACACCAATGCATGGCGACCCCAGCATGGAGTACAGAAGTGAATACGTCTTGCGCACAAAATTTGTGTGAAAGACATTAGCGCGTGTTTCAGCCCGTAAATCGGCAGCGCGTCCACATGCGTCCCATTCACTGTGCGATAAATCTCCGCCATTTTGGTTGTCTCTCTTAGGCACGCAACAAATTAACGTAAAGTAATGGAGCTTTCCTCCAGCACGTGACCTAGCTCAACGCGCGCGAAGCTAGAAATGAGCACCGAGTATTTACGCGATGCGCACACATAATTATTAGCGATGCACATGGTGCTCTTTACGCGTAAACGGTATTGCGTTCGTCACGTTTTCGCGCATAATTTGTATCTTTCCTCCAGCATGTGACCCTACATGCAAGTCCACCCAGTACATGTGTGTACATGTTTGTACAGTATGTGACAGACTTGGCAGGGCTAGTGCCAGCAGTATTTACTTGACCACAAACATTGCAAAAGAGTTAAACTGTTGAGATCCTGAATCCATCAAAGTCCCCCAATAGCTCAAAATGGAGGTATCCTGAATCCATCAAAATAAAAAAAAAAGCAATTTAAAACATGACTCGGCAACTTACGAATTGGAGCCGAGATTCTAGAAAATTCTCGGAATATACAGCATTCACTGAGCTGAAAGTTCATTAGGTTAGTTGTTCAGCACCCGTCTTTGATTTTGAGCACTTTTGTTGCATCAAAAAAAAAAAAAGCACAAATGACAAAATAATGATCAGCCCTACCTTTAAAATGAATATTAGGTTTTGCCCTTAACTGACGTATAAACACTGTATACCTCCCTAGTGTGTTACCTCCTGAGTGAAAGTTGGAAAAAATCACTTGGGTGGGATTCAAACCCATGACCTACTGCTTTCTAGTGCAGACGTCTTACCACTCAACTACCGAGCTTGTGGGATCGGTTGGCTGGTTCGTATCTGATGTACATGTAGCAGCAGGTACCACAATTAAACTATTCATCAGATGAATTTGCGTCAGGGGGATGTATACTCAACATTAGGTTTTGTCCTTTCCCCCCCCCCCCCCCAACTTTCACTTGGGAGGTTACACACTCTGAGTATTCAATGTTTATACGTCGGTGAAGGGCAAAACCTAATATTGATTTACATCACCCTGACACAAATTCATCTTATGAATACCTAGGCCAAACAAAAATATACCTTTGGTTCGGCATGACATTTTATTTTATTTCTTTAATTTTTTCTCTGGAGCCAATACATGTGAGGAACGATACACGTTTGAGTGGTCCACAATCTAAGTGTTTTAGGATGATTTTTGAGACCTTTTTTATCGTAAGAAGTTCATAAGTTCAACCATAGAGCAAGGAACATGGTTCAACCACTGTCATGTTGACGTACTCTACGCTTGTGCTTCTCCGTGGTTCGTCAGGTTGGCCTCTTGCGGCGATATCATTTGAAAAATCGTAGTCAACTTCTCCATGGTTTTTCACAAAGGATTTTCTGAGTGTCATTTTGAGATTTCCATCTTGGAAGAAATTTCCTTTTTGTTTTTTGGAAAATGTTCACATTCTCCAATGTCTAGAGCAAATTGCAGTCTTGTGTGCACGTGCACGAAGGCCGAACGAAAGCCATGAAAGACGGTGCGGCGTCCGATCCAATGTGAAGTCTACAACACACGTGGCCATTGGTGGAATATCGCATAATGAATTTTTCTATTTGCTGATGCAATGTCAACAAAGACTTGCTTCTACAGGGATGTGATTTCTCCGTTTTTTTCCGGAAATCCGTTTTTTTGGGCCTCAAAAGTCCACCAACGTGAATCGTGTGAATCCGTTGAGAAAATAGGGGGGGGGGGGGGGTAGAATGTGCTAATTAATTATTCATAATGAGTTTTGCTTGCCGAAATATCCGAAATTTACTTACGGACATAAACTTCGTTGATCGATATGTATGCTGCACGCACATATTGAACACCCAATGTGAGAATGAAGTTGAAGACCATGCGTTGCCATTAGTGCGATTATGTGATTTTTCGCTCGGGGCCGAGGTTGTGGTTATGTAGGTCTAGTTCCTGTGTCGGTACTTGAGATGCACGTGTTGCGCTGGTCAGGTGTGCAGACGAGTGCAGCATGGTACACTGGTACCCTTCGCGTGCTAACAGAATCCATACTATGATGAAGGACTGGAACCAGTGACTACTGCAAGTACTCAGTACTCACAGGTTCGTTTTCCGTGCGTAGTCGGCCGAAGTTGGATCGTAAAAATAGTAAAAATACCAAACAACCATCGATGGAAAAAGAGGATTTCTGCAAATTAATTCGCAGAATGTGATCTTCATTTTCTGTGTATGTGTTTTCCATTGAAATGACGAGATTGCAAAATTCGAACCTGTGGAGAAACATCGTAGCGTGTTTCTGCAGTCCTGCAGAATTTTCGGCCACATGGGATGGGCCGTACACAGTGCAGCAATGCACACTGATACTGCGCCGGGCCGGCCGTGTGTACAGCGCGATGTACGACCGGCCAGACTGAATGTTTGCGGCGCTAGCGGCCGTGATGTACGTTAAGCATAATTGTGGAATGACCCACCTCAAATATATTTTTAATTAGGTGAGGCAAGTTTTAATCACTTTTGATGGCTAGTCTTGATAATTTTTGTGGCGCAAATGAGAATAATCCAGGCACAAAATACATGAAATGTAAACGATTCCTTGCTTTACTACAAATATAGAAATGGTGAAATAATTTTTTTCCAACAATACTACCGATGCTATTTTGAAAGGCGTGTTATCGGAAGCAGAAGTGATTTAAGTTTACAATTTTGATTTTTTTTTACAAAAATATTACAAGATCTCCTCTGAAATGCTCTAAAATGCACCAGAAAGCTTCTAAAGTTCAAAATTTTTTGGGGCCCTTAAGCGGGCCCCGGACCCACGCCGTGGCTTCGCAGGTTGTTGTATCACAACAAAAATTCCCCCACAGGTTTTAAAAAAATCCTGGGGAGAACAGCATGGTTCTCAACTTTGAGTACAGAAAAAACTTAATTAGAACAAGAGTACATTTTAACAAATAAAGGAAAATTCTTCATAAAATTAAAACAAATTCTGCTTCAGAATTTCAGAGGAAAGTGCCCAGTAATTGCCTCAGATTGCACCACAGAGCATCTTAAATCAAAAATTTTTCGGGGCCCTTAAGCGGGCCCCGGACTCCATGCCGTAATGGCTTCACGCTTGCCGGAGTTTGCACTTCATGCATACAATTTGCTGTTTTTTTTGTCACAGACCAATCACATCCCTGCTTCTAGCAACCTAAAAGCGTTTAGTGTAAAAAAAGAAATCATTAGAACACTTTGCTTCCGTGATTTCTTCCACTGTTTCAAACAAAATTTCATCGAAAATCGGTTTCCAGATGCATGGCGGCTGTCCCTAGGCTCGAAAGTCTGTGTGGCCGTGTAACTCTCGGTCAACCAATAGAATTGCTTGGTGGGCACAGACATTGCCGTGGGGATTTCCCCTGGCATGCAATACCACTCTGCTTTAAACAGCTTGCACAGAACATGCATGATGCACGCACACATACGGAGGAACATTATAGACTTTTTGGACTGCATTGCAATGACGATTACATGACAACGTACGTATTTTTAGAGTACACGCAAAACTCACTGAAGTTAGACCATGATGTTTTCTTTCGGATAATACCAGAAAGAAAAAAATTACTTACTGATAAATGCCTATAAATTGTTTTGGCGGTCAACGATTTTGATCAATTTTGATCGGAAGTCAGTATCGTAATATTTGTTTTTCAATAGACCAATGAAATTGTGTGGGGTCGCATTTTATCGCTTTCAAAAATAGGGTCAGGCGGGAGACCCGAACCAAAAGTATTTTTTTGTTTGGCCCTATAAATGCTTTATATGCCAAGCGCTGTGGCCCATTTCAATGAAATTTGGACAGGATCTTCCATGGCTCGAATCTTATCTCAGGTGGTCACCGTTTGAGTCACCAGTGGTTATTTTGTACCTCAGTTGAGAACCCCACTATGGCTGCTTGTAGAGTTGGATCAAAGTTCACCAGTGGTCGCTGTAGTGGACTAGGGGTCATTTTATGAAAAACATTCGAAATGGTTCTTTTGCTACTTTTTTCCAGCTGATTTCGTCCACAAGTAGTCAGTTACAATCTTCCAACAACCAACTGGTATTTGTGCTTCATAAAGCACATTCTGCTTTTGTGTTTTTTTTTGTTTTTTTGACAACTTTAAAATTGCATATGTTCAAACCACATGGGATTTGAAATTTTCCTTCTAAAATGGAAGCTATGGGTTTTTTTGGGGGGGGGGGGGGAGGCAAAGCTGAATGTGTGAGATGCAGATACCTTGAGCCAATGATTTTCAGCTTTAGCAGAAAACAGATATTTGCCATTGAGAGAATTGTGTTCACAAGTTCTCAATTAATAGCATTGTTGTAATAGCATAATTTGTTTCAACCTTTTTTACCCCTCGGCCGAAAGGCTCGAGGGGTATTGTCATCGCCTACGGCGTCCGTCCGTATGTCCGCCCGGCTGGAGTGTCCGTTCTGACCATACCACCCTTGTGGGGTGATGTTCCTTTCAGGACACATCACCCCACTATTTTCACAATAGAAAAACATCACCCCAGAAGAGAATCTTTAGAAAAAGGGATAATGGGAACACAATGCTATCACCCCACAATTCCGTCTGGCTGGAACGTCCGTCCGTTCGTCCGGGCAGCTTAGTTTCCGGATGATAACTTGAGTTAGAAATGTTGTTTGGGATTGTAACTTCGGTAGGGGGTTGCCCTTAGGAGTAGGCAAGTTGGGATTGGTTTTGAGGTCAAAAGGTCAAAGGTCAAGGTCACCATGGTGAGTTAAAGGTAAATGGTTTCCGGATGATAACTTCAATTGGAAATGAGATTTTGCTGTCTAACTTAGGTAGGGGGTTGCCCATGGGTACAGGCATGTTGGGATTGGTTTTGGGGTCAAAGGTCAAGGTCACCGTAGTGATTAAAGGTAAATGGTTTTCAGATGATAACTTGAGTTAGAAATGAGATTTTGGTGTCTAACTTTGGAAGGGGGTTGCCCTTGGGAGTAAGCAAGTTGGGATTGGTTTGGGGGTCAAAGGTCAAGGCCACCGTGGTGAGTTAAAGGTAAATGGTTTCCGAATGATAACTTGACTTAGAAATGAGATTTTGGTGTCTAACTTAGGTATGGGGTTGCCTTTGGGAACAGGCAAGTTGGGATTGGTTTTGGGGTCAAAGGTCAAGGTCACCATGGTGAGTTAAAGGTAAATGGTTTCCGGATGATAACTTCAGTTGGAAATGAGATTTTGCTGTCTAACTTAGGTAGGGGGTTGCCCATGGGTACAGGCATGTTGGGATTGGTTCTGTGGTCAAAGGTCAAGGTCACCATGTTGAGTTAAAGGTTAATGGTTTCCGGATGATAACTTGACTCTGGCTGAGGGGTTTCAACAGCAACGCTGTTTTTTTAATTTGATGTCTGCGACTTGTCACACACGATGAAAACATGAATAAGTAGTTTCACACTGATTGAAATGGAAATAAGAATCACCTCAAGGGAAGTGATTGGCTCTCATATGAATGAAATTATGATTATTCATAAATCTTCTTAGTTGATCTTTGCCTTACATTGAAAAGAACAAATGTTTGTTGTTGTTGGTGTTGTCTTCACTTTAAAAAAATGTTCAAATATTTTTCAGATGTCAACAGCGAAATGGCCGTAAGATGATCACGATAGTCGAGGGTATCTCTCCCATTTATTCACAGCATCGCATTGTCAAGAAAATGAAAAAGGTTTGTACATATTCATTGAATTGGATCTAAAGGCCTTTTCACACTATCTGTGTTTCGAACCGTGTTGAAACCAACCCGAATCCAACCCGGTTCAGCCCGAGTTGTTTTCGACACGGATCGGAGAGACGCAACGTTCACACTGTTCTTTACGGGAACGGGCGCTACGTGAACCGTGTTATGTACAATCCGGCTACGGCCCCTGTGTATTCACACTACAAATTCTCAACACGGATCGAATTCGGCATGAGGCGCTGTGATGATTTTCTCAATCCCATAATGCATTGGGACGCACGCGGCTGCACGCACGAGGAGGCTAACGGACAGGCCGGTGAGCAGCGTGAATTTACTACTCTGTGAAATACAGACTCATTGATAGTATTGCACATGCCTAAGTATGATAATTAGGAGAAGGACCTGTCATATGAGAGGGCTTGACCAATAAGAGAGTAAAGGAATCCGATTTTCATGGGAGTCTGATTTCCACTTATGACACCAGTGCAGCTGTGTGCAAAACATGTATTTCTAAAATGGCTCAGGTCATTTCGTTAGATGATTCGTTGTATGTAACGTTGGAAATTTACTTTTTTGGGGGTACATTTTGCGGACCTAATACAAGCCCAGACTCAGTAAAGGATGCTCCATACTCCAATACATTATTGGATGATAATTAAGGAGCGATTGTTTTCTGATCTTTGTTTGTGATGGCGATGACGGTGGAGGGAAATATGCACGGCTTGTCAGATGTTCGGTAGAATGTCGGCCTCAACTCAACACGGATCGGCAGCGAGTGACTCAACTCGGGGCGGTTCACACTATCATTTTCGACACGGTTCAGGCCGAAAAATGCGATTTCGATCCGGGTTGAGATTTTCAACCCTGGTCCCTCCCAGGGTTGATTTCGATCCGGCTAGAGCACGCTACCCGGGTCAGAACTGGGTTAAAATTTTAGAAGTGGGAAAGGGGTTGAAAAAATTCTTGGGGTTGGAACCGGTTTCAACCCGGAGATTTTGGACAGTGTGAAAAGGCCTTTAATGAACAGTGTGGGCTTTGGCCTTGCATACTTCCAAGGTCAACCACTGTTTATTACCGACACCTATATTAGTTATAAACACACATGGTCATGTTCATCAACTATTTATTGTGACTGGTATCAATTCTCCAGGGCAGAGCCAAGTTCAGTCTCTATTCGTGACTCCTTTCTGGTACACACAAAGTTTCTTATCACGATTACAAACAACTAAACAAGGCCTCCATCAGTTGAAGTTGTACATTGAAAATGCCAATGTTACACAGACTGTTCACTACACTAAACTTGAACACACTTCCTTAGCTTTTATAATAGACGGAGTTTAAAGGTAATAAACAACATTTGCAAACATTGAAAAACAAAACTGCCAAATTGTAATAAAATTCCTTTCTTGACCTGAACTGAATAATAGTCTCAAGCATCCTGTGAAATCATGGCACCTGGTGTGCTGCCATTTTGAAGAAAAGGGATAGTTTTATATCAATTTCCAAGGATGGTCAGGCGACCATCGTTGGAAAAAAACCCTGACTTTTTTCAAGTACCACCCCAGCTTACCGAATTCAGTGATTCCACATTTTGTTTGCAATCGGTTACATATCCGTGAACGTTGCAAGCCAGCTAGTCTGGTTCCTGACCTGACAATTCCCTGACGTCTATAAATTGCTCTGTTTCATATGAAGTACGTTCAGGAAACCAGGCTACAAGAACAACATTTTTTTCTAGGTTTTTTTCCAGCATCTATGAACACAACTTTAAACAGGTCAGTTAAACAATATTTGCTGTAAAATACTAACCCCCTAATCCATCCATGTCTGAAAATTACAGCAAAAGCAAATGATGTACATGTATATTCCCTTTAAAGTGCATTTATATAGTGTACGTGTTCTAAGATTTTGTTTTCTTCAAGATGGACTGACATGAACTGTTCCAACTGTTTCTTGAAATGTTCATATCAGAGACAACAAACAAGTTATTGTTCTGCATCTAGTCTAAACGTTACTGTAGACTTGGAATGCATTTGCATACACTAACGGGGTACATTTTACATTTTTTAAATACATTTTAATAAAAATACTATTCTTTTGGTCCTTTAGTTTTTCAACTGTAATGGGAATGTGCACAAAACGGAACAAGATTTTGGAGATGTTATCCAGCTGCAAGGAGACCAGAGAAATAAAGTCAAGGAATTCCTTGTGTCTTGTGAATTGGCCAAGGAATCTCAGATTAAACTCCACGGTGTTTAAATTGTTACCTTCCAGTCCATGCCGAGGTCAATGACTTTGTCAGCATTGTAAATTATGTAAAAACAGAGCTGCTTATTTTATGACTGTCCATAGCAATGATTCCACTGTTAGAGTTGGGGTTGATTGTTAAATGTTAACCCAGTGGTTCTTGCTCACATGCCATGACTGAGCAACTTTTTCGGTGGTGCTAAGGTTGCCTGTTCATTTTGCAGGTTACATCCTGCATTTACGTTGTTGCATACAATCTGTAAATTCCTCATTTTAATCAAATAGTTCTCATATGTGACTCTTAATTTTTTAGATCTAATGGGGTTGTGCTAAATATATGCCAATATTCAATCACCCACTGAATATCCGAATACATGTAGCATGTTCCCAATTTCAAGATTTGAAAATGTGATTGGTCTCAAGAATAAAATAAACAACCTTAACATTATTTTAATATAGGTTTTCCCGGCCAATTTCACCAAGTTTTCATTCAATTTAACGCCTGGCTTATTCGATTTAGATTGAAATTGAAAGATCGTGCAGATCGGCATTCGACAATCAAAAAGAATCCTACAATTTCACTATCCGAGCATTCTATCGCCTTTTAGCTTCACTCGTCCCTATCAAAGATGCATTCATATTAAAAGTATCGCGTTGTTCATTCAATTTCGTCTAAACCATTAGTAAGGGACTGATCGGGCATTCGTTTTCATTAATGGGCAAACATGTTTTACATTTTGTCAAACATCTTTTAAGACTTCATACGTGTCCGTATTCCTTGGCGTAAATCATATTTGATGACTTCAAACCGTAGATTGACTTTCTTTCTTAATTAAAGGGTATGTGCAAGGAATTTTTCTCATGAATTCTTTTTACGCAACTCTGTGAAATGTTAGAAAACTACACATTTGACAACACTTTTTGGGTTAATCTTATTGCAAATGTCCACTTCTTTAAACATTTAAAAGTTTCCATGTTTTTCCGGACTAATGCTGTAACTGTGATGTCATTTCAGGAAGACACTGTTCAGTTTAGGGTTTTTCTTTCAAATTATTCATCCAAAATTTGCTAATTGAAAACATTTGTGGGAAAGGGTTGGTAATTGGCTTACTGCCATGTACTGACACATCATATAATCACCAAATTAAAGAAATTTATGACAGCAAAATATCCAAAATTCTAGCAACTTTTTTTGCTGAAATAGCCGTATTTTCTAATGAAAAGGAAACTTTGCATTAGCATAAAAACGGAGAAGGCACCAAAAACACCCATCAAAATGGAAAATAAAACTTGCAAATAAGGTTAAATGTGACACAAAGATGTAATTTCAAGGTTTGCATTGAAATATTTGCATGGGCCCTGTGAATATGGTAAGTGTTCGGTCAGACATACGCAAGAAAACATTTAAGAAATAACGCAAGAGAAGTGTTCCCGACGGTACAACCATTGCCAAACATACGTGTCTCGATGTCTTACACGTCAAGAAATCGTCAACGTAAAAAAGCCCCTTGATCAAACGTTTAAACGAGTAGAAAAGATCAACAGTGAAAAAGAAATTATCTTAGTCCCTTTCAATTCATTATTCCGTTGCATCTTGTTTCCCTCATATCAGTTGATTTGTAACATTGTAAATTTTTACAGTCATCAAGATTTTTTGGGGGGGAATGAGCCTCGGAGAAAAATAGGGAAAAAAATTGATTAAAAAATCTTACTAATTTAAATGACCAAACGATGAAAGCGATTGCCCATAAACGAATAAGAAACGAAAAGCATGGTTATACGTTATAAGCGCACTGATGTTTGCTAATTTGAATGCGTCAACCGTCAAAAGGTTGCAAAGACTTAATTTAAGACTGCTACAAGTTAAGTCTTGAATGCACCAAGACGAAATAGGCTGCTCGAAAACGAAAACGAACATTCGCAGCAAAATCTTGGCTGCCTAAAAATGAAATTGAATGAACCCCAAATGAAAAAGAAACCGCAATTGGACCAGATAATGAAACTGATTAGAAAAATTCGGAAATTCGCCGGGAAAACCTATAATATAGTTAAAGTTGCGTGGTTTTATTGATTGTCAATGCCTCATTATTGTAAACAGTTACTTAATTAGAACCATGATTTGAGAGTTTCTGTGAAGAATGAAATATCAGCTGATATCAACTAGAATGAAAAATCTATTCAAACATACATGATCTTAATATTTTATTGAGCTCATTTTCAGTTTTCGACAGGTGCACGCAAAATCAGAATGGCAGCCCTTTTGATTCCGACTGGTGCTCACAGTTAATGTACATTTTGTATATGTATATGAAGGCGCCTTTAAAACTTGATTTGCTTGTTTCGAATATTTGAATGTTCAGTTGAATTCAAGTTCAAATAATCAAATACTAAATTATTTTAAAATACACAGAACCAAATTTTAACCTTGTTTCATCAACAGACAAAACAAATGCTTTAATTACGTTTGGCTGCCAACGGAGTTGTTTCATTGGTTAAAAATGTATTTCATTGTTTTCCTGAAGAGTTGAGCATTCGCAGCTTCAACAGTTAAACATTTTTTTTACAATTTGATTACTGATCTTTGTACTTGTTATTAGGAAAAAAGACACGGTGATCTAATTGGTCCTTGAGGAATTCAGTTAACATGTATATTAAAAGCTCGTTCATCAAAAGACATGACATGTAACATGATCTATTGCTTTGCCCATATTAGTAAACATATGAAGTTGAAATGAGTTTATACTTCTATTAGATTGACAAATAGATACTAGAAAATCAAACTTTTGTATTTCCTTGTTTATTGTTTCAACTTTAATGTAGATTGTACGCCTTGCTATTTTGATGTTTTGTCGGAGTGAGACAGTTACAATATGACGTATGTGTATCTTGGATTGATTGTCAGTTGTTTACCATAGGACGGCTTGTATAAGGATGGATTGACATTCAGTCAGATTGTGTTTATTGCTTAAGTAATATGTTTATTGCATTTACTGCATTAATTATGTAGACCCTTTACCGTGACATGATGACATAATCTTGTCTTTTATTTTCTTTTGAAGTAGGCAGCCATGCACATGTAGCTTTCTGTGAATAATTTATCCACTGAAATGATTGCCTGAACGGATGGTGTTCATTTAAAATTGCTACAAATGAACAAAATGAATGCAATAAACTGGAAGTGAAGGTGTCTTTACTGAACTTGTCTTTTGCATGACCCCCAAAAAGCTTGGAATCTCTGACGGTGCAAGTGAATAGTGAATGGGAAGATCTGGGATTCCAGAGGACATGTAACTGGTCCTTGCTCGAGAATTAGTTGTGTGTTTTTCAGTTGGGTAATGGATTTTGTCATTTGGTGTATTGTTCTCGCGTATTGAGACAAATTAAAGATGTCTTTGTGATATTTAATAAAGCCTGATTGTGTCTTATTTTCTTTTGAAAAAGGCATCCCTATACATGTACATTTCTGTGATTAATTTATCCACTGAGGTGATTGAATTATTCAAACACATTGCACGATTTTTTTTTGTGGGACAGACTTTTGGATAAACAAACCACGTGATGCTGTAAGCTTGTCGGCACTGACCCAGGGGCAATTTCTCCGCTTCCTTGATTTCCTGGGAAGAGCATCACGAATAGCAGCAATCACAATGTCCACAGCAATCACAATGTCCATGAATCCTTCCCAAGATTGATTAATGTCATTTGAATCCAGGAAGAGATCCCATATGGAGCATACGTAAGCAGTGAGTTAAGGTGCTACCTCGTTTCCATGGGTACGAGATCTCGCTGCGCCATTTTGTTTCCCATCATGCCTTGCGCAAGGAACGCGCACGCGCCCATATGGAGTCGAGGCTGGTTAAGGTGGTCTACTGATCAGCTGATGCCTGGTCGTAGGAAAGGAACTCTGACTGCTGCCGGGAGTGGAGGGGAACTACAACAACAGACTGGTTCCGTAAAGATTTCACTACCAGAAAAAACTACCGTGCGGTAGTTTTTTCTGGTAGTACAAAAATTCCTTCCTTCCTTCCATCATAGAGCAAGGGCCCAAGGAGTCAGAACTCTTGGGCGATTTACATTTTGACCATAACATACCAATCCCTCGGGAATGTCTATAGCTACAGCACTGTGACCGCAAGCCTCGACCATTCAAAGCGTGAATGCCAGCGGCCTTTGAACACGATGATCGTCGCCGCCTTTTTAGTTGGTAACTAACAACCTCCCTATATGCTGCATAATAAGTCATGTCACGTCGCTGCTCTTTTTTGAAAAATATATTTTACGACAAGATAGGTTTTTACAACTGCGCAGTTGTTAGATGTGAGTTATGAACTCAAGTTAGCAATGTGCAGTTGTTGGTGCTTAAAAAGCGTTATCTGTCCCTGTAATTTGGAGATAAATTGGATTTCTTTCAGATAAGTTTTCATGTATTTTCAGACATTTTAATTGGCAATGTATCATTGATGAAATGTGTTTTTTTGGAAAATTTCACAAGTTTTCACACTAAAGGTACAGAGCATTTTGTTCTTCATGAAATGATTGTTTCAGTGATGTTGACCACATTGTTAGCCAGTATTAGCCAACTCCGAACAAACACTTCAAAATCATTCATTTTTAGCGATGTATGACAACTGCGCATGCGTATTTACCATGGTACTGTCTACGAAGCCATGCAAACTCCTTTTTTTGGCATTAGTGAGCGCGGATCTGTATTGTGTCGAGATTAGCGTAGTGATACTGAGCAAGCTGGCGCCAGGTGCTTTCTATTGTAGCTTTCGAGCGCGGCGACCATCATTTTACTTTTGAAGTCTTGGAGTACGAACTCCTTGGGTCCTTGCTCTATGCTTCCATAGAGTGCACTCCTCAAAAGATGAGTATAGTCGCACTGTGGTGTATGTGGAAATCTGCAGAGTAAAAAAAAAAGTTCCCTCTGGAACCCGCCTCGTAGAACATGTAGTCTGTTGTTGTACTGCAGTAAAGACACATTAAAGAGTGTTGGCACCAGACTACTTCATTGACTGACGAAGAACTTGAATATCTTGTAGAAGTTGTACTTAAAAAGATTCAAAAATCTACGAAGGCCGTTATCGACAAGGCAGTGAGGCCACTCAAAAAGGCAGTGAGGCTACTAAATATTTATGAGCTGTATATGTAGTAAACAAATACAGCATGGTTTATTTCTGGGAAGTAGTTGGAATTACTGGTCCCTCGGTGTAGGTCAGCCCTCCGCTTCGCGTCGGGAGGTAGTCAAGCTGACCTACATTTCGGGACCAGTAATTTACAAAAACCCACCCTCAAATCGTGTTGTATTTGTATAATATTATATAACCGACATACAGATCCTTGTCATTTGATTGGTGGAACTCACATCACGTGGCATTCGTTATTGCTCCCATTCATGCCGCGGCTCAAAAAGTACTATCCGCCCATGGGGGATGGGAAATACTATTCAACAGTTAGGATCATGACGCGGTATTTGTGTGCAAATGCATGCTGGTGTGCGCGTTCAGCGTTGCGCGTAGCGCGTGTTGTTCCAAAGAGCCAG